CCCCAAAACCCCAAAACCCCAAAACCCCAAAACCCCAAAACCCCGCATTTCGATAATTGGTACTCAACAGATAATTGGTTCAGCTTTTGATAAAGCTTAATAACTAAAAATAATTCAATTAAAAATACTCATTAATAACATTTTTTTAATTATTTTAAATGGAGGCTAAACATTAAGACTTTGAAATCTTTAATCTTAATGGAACTTAATCATAATCCTTTATTAAAATTGGTATAAACTGTGAAAATATAGGCTTTGGAACTTGTCATAAAGTATGGACATGTGTAAACATTTTCTGTTATGACATTAAAAATAGGCTATAGTTTTAATTAAGTTCTTAGAAAAGAAATTTATGACTGAGCCTATATGCTTTAAAGATAAAATGGGTTTAGATTTTGGATCTGGGGTAATTTGATTTAATAATTATAATAAGACAGGTGTATGTGGATTGGCTCTAGAGAAGTTTGGATTTTAAAAGATTTACCTAACCGACGAAGATGAAGTGATAGAAAAAATAACAAGGCCTAATATTTTACTGAATGAATCGTTAAATTGTGAGGGGATAGGTTTAAATTGGAATACGGATAGATTTAACTTGTCTAAAACACTAGAAACAAGTGGGATGCTTTGCTAACCTCTCGATCTTATTACTGCTAGTGATGTAATATTTAACATGACCTAGATAGAATTAGTCCCGTAAGTACTTAGACTCATATGTGAAATCTATTTGGAAAAATTCTAAATCTGCCCCATTATTCTGATGAGCTACAAAAGCAGAAATGAGTAAATTGATGATAAATTGTTTGAAGCTTTCGATAAAAATAACTTTGAAGGTGAGCAGGCTAATGCCAAAGAACTAGAAGAAGAAATGTTGAGTTTACCAATTGATGTATTCATATTCAAATTAAAAGAATCTAAAGTAAGCATTATTTTGCCATCTTATACAGAGTGATAAAATTATTAATTTTATATAAATAAATAACAAGATTTTCCACTTAATACATAATAATTTCTCCTTGTGGGGTTTTGGGGTTTTGGGGTTTTGGGG